GCCATGTTGTCTCCTCCGGGGCAGGCGGGAATTGAACTCATGCGGAAGTGGTTTTAGCTTCTCAATGCTGTGCTTTAACCCACTGTGCCACCAGGGAGGGCCCAAAACATACTTTTTAAATGAGTAAATAGCTGATCTGGAACACTCCTTAGATTTTTGACTCATACATTAAAACTCAGGACAAAGTCATCTCCTTTGGGAAGTCTTCTCTGATTTGTCCCAATAGAAACAATTGTTTGTGCTTTGAAAACACATTATTCATGCTTTCATTGCAACACGCATCACCGTATATACTGTTTGATTGTATCCTGTCTCCCCCTCCAGAATTAAGCTCTTTAAGGATAAGAACTGTGAAATATCATTTATTACACCCTTTTCGATCTGTGCTTAACACTTAGTGCATACTTCATAAAGTTCTGCTCAATGCAAGAATCAGGGCCTCCCTGGTGGTAAAGGGGTTAAGTCTCAGCACTCTGAAGCTATCCACAGCCACTGTAGCATGAGATCCCTGGCCAGGGAGCTGACCACAGGGTACAGCAGACGTCTCCTGTCTCCACACTGTTCCCCTCAACAGTGTGGTTCAGTACATCTGCCTGTTCTGCTCCCCACTCTGTCTCTGGTGAATCCTTGCACCTCCCATACCTCTAGCCTGCATGCCTGCACACCTGCATAAGTAAATACATCTTTAAAAAAAATGCTCTTCTGTATACATTTCAAATCCTAGACATCAACGTTCAGACACATCCTGGTTAAAGTGTATTCAGCAAGTGTATTAGGGCCACGACCTGCTTCGGGCATCAATTTTTTGACCCTTCAACACAAAGGAAAAACATTTGCTCAGCTCCTCTGAAGTTGACCAGGCCTGGCTAATGGGTGGGCAGGCTGGTGGGCCTCAGCTCCAGACCTGCCCTGTCCAGGTCTCTGAGGCCTCAAAGACCCTCAGACAATGTCCACAGGACCCCCAACCCACCACCCCACACCTCTGGCTTGGACCCCAAAGCAGGCTCTGCACTAGGGACGAGCTACCAGGAGCTTCTGGGTAGCCCACAGTGGCTGTGTCTGTGGATCTCTCAGTCCCACAGAGAGGGGCATGTGACTGTGATTTCTATTGAGACACATGTTTGGTCTTTATCCCTGTTCTGCCACAGAACTCCTAAACAAACAGCAAACAAAACCAGAAGGTGTCTTTTGTAATGTAAATGAAGTGAGTTTTGGACAGTCTCTGGGATAGGGGTGTTTGCCAGAAGAACCAACTGGTGACTAGAGGTTGGAACCTTCAGTTTTGTGCTCCCTCCCCAGAGACGAGCAGAGAGGGGCCTAACTGAGACTCAGTCACCAATGGCCAGTGACTTACTTGCTCAGTCGCCCCTCCCCCACGCCTCCCCTGTGTGTCTCTCCCCAGGCTGTCCTGAGCTACATCGCTTCATAATAAATGGGTGTCCTGGCAGGGCAAGTCTCCCTCTCCCTCTGAGGTCAATGAGCCCTTTGAGCAAATCAATCACTCCCAAGGAGGGGCTTGTGATTGACAGCTGGTCTAGCTGTCGGGAAGACCAGCATCTGAGGGGGGGAAGAGAGGGTACACACCAGGTCAGCATGGAGTCGGGGGGCACACAGCTGGTGTCAGAGTGCTCAGCACAGAGAGGAAACAGCCACACACACACTCAGGAGTGGTATCCCAGCATTCACGGGGTACCCATGCCACCCCTGACCACCTTGGCAGAGAGGAGCCCAGCCCCTGCACAGGCCATGCCCACAGGCTGTCGTGCGCTGCTGCCTACCTGGCCCGAGGGTGCAGTGAGGGTGCTTTCTGGGGAAAGTCTGTCCAGGGGGGTGCCTCCCTTTTGACTGCAGTCCAGCTGGATCAGGCGGCGGCACTCCGGGTGGCAGGTGAATTTACAGTCTGGAGGGGAAGAACCACAGTGGGGTTAGCACCAGGCAGCATCCTGTCCACGTCCAACCAGACACCCGGAGACAGACGCACTCCTCCCCGGAGGGCAGAGCATGCAGGACAGGTGGGGGTGGGTGCCGAGGCACCAAGGCAGCACCTTTGTGAACAGTCACCTGCTGTTTTGTGTGGTCCTGCAGTCGTTAATATTGGCAGTTTACAGGCAGGCCGCTGTGGCCTCAGGGACCTCAGTGACTTTCTCGGGGGTGGGGCAGGTGATCTGGCTTCAAGGGGGCTCTTTCTGCTAATTCATACCAATCATGACGGGCCAGTGATCCTCAGGGAAGGACTTAACCTTTCTGGGTCATTCCAATCTGTAAAGTAGAGGTAAGGGTGCCCGGCCTGGTGTGCGTGGTGGGAGAGGTGGTCTTAGCCCACAAGTGCTCCTCCAGGAGGGATGTGGCCTGCCACGCCCCCCACCACCCCCTCTATCTCCCCCCAAGGCAGGTGGCAAACTCTGATCCATAGGAGACTGCTGGCAGACAGTGTCCCTGGTGCAAGTTTCAGAGACAGTGTTCACCTCCATGAAAGCAGGACTTAAAGGTGGGGGGCCATCTCCGGTCTGGGGAGGCTGAGGCCAGAGAGGTAAAGGCCCAGTGACACACAAGCTCAGAGCGGTGCCAAGGTTGCTGGAGCCTCCGGCCACCTCAGGGGCTTTCTCTGGAGCATCCTTGGCAGAAGGGAGGTCTAGTTGGAGGGGGCAGAGGTGGCAAGATTTGGCAGGTGAGAGGAGGCTGGTTGGAGAATGGGCATGAAGCAAAAGATAGCACTACAAACCACCTGCAGGCAAAACACTCAGGTTTGGAGAGGGCCCCAGGGCAACTGCTGGCCCAGGAATCTCCTCTTGGGGGAGCTGCAAGAGGACGCTGTGGGAGGGACGCCTGATTGCAGCCAGCCACAAAGGCGGCGGGGTGGAGGGTCGGGGTTGGGGGAAATGGGGACTTGAGAGCCTGGGGAGAGAGGGGAGCACTTTGGATGATTGGCATCCTGGAATTATTTTTCTTCCTCCTAACAAGCTTCAAAAATTCAGCACAGAGCTTACTCTGTGGTAGGGTGGGTCACCTCTTCATCCCACTCTTTTGGATGGGGTGCTGGCTGCCCCTTCTCTTCCACCCCAAAGATGAACATCTGGGCCACCTTCCTAGAACGTCTTGACCCTGTCCGCAGAGGCATGCCCTGACAATGCCAGGGTCACAGAGGAGTTCTAGAACCCTGCAGCCTGTCTCAATGTCCCGAAGCTCCCGACCACTTTGGGACAGGACATAGACGCTACTGCTCACCGTCTCGTGGCCATGGCCAGGGCCACAGGGCCCGTCCTGCAGACCTCTCCTCCCGCGAAGCCTGTGCCCTCACCCAGAGACGGCAGGGCCAGGCCACTTCTGAGCATGCACCCGAGGCCTGCAAACACCACATGTATTTCTGGGCACCCAGATAGGAGATCCTTCCTGGCACAGGACAGCCTCACCCCCAGTGGGGGAGAGGCACAGAGGGGTGTACAGGCCAGCTCCCTGGCCCACGGTGCCCAGAGGCAGGCTCTGATAAGGCGGCGCTGCGGCCAGAGCCTGCACAGAGCCGTATTGTTCCGGGCGCTGGTCGGGGCCACACCTGTGTGGCTCTGGCTTTGCTCTGAGCCACGAAGAATGTTCCAGGGATGCCAAGAAACCAGGAAGAGGAGGAAGAACTGAAGTTCTCCCAACTCTAAGCCAGCGGGAGCTACCACCAACGCAGAGAGGGAGAGGAGGAGCCTCTCAGCCTCCCCTTGCAGCCCCTGGGGGCCTCTGTGCCTCTGATTGTCTCAAGTGCCATGTCCGTCTGCCTGTCTGTCTGCTCTGACACACACACACGCACACACATGCGCATGCGCGTGCACACACACACACACACACACACACACACACACACACACCCTGAAAACAGCACCACGACCTCAGGAAGATCTTTTTACAGATCTGATGCAGAGCCAGGAAAGAAAAGACTCCAAGAGGAGCACTCGGGATTTTATAAAAAGCACATCTGAACACCAGCGACAGTCGCCGTCGGATGTAATCACAGACCAGGGCAAAACCACCGACGCACATTGCGACTGTCCCTGGCCTCTGCAAACGCCAAGCCCAGGGCTTTCATGCAGCAGACATGAAGTCAGAGCCAGCCCTTGCCCCCCTCCACCCCAGCCTACAGGTCTGATGCTGGTGTGCGGAGACCCGTGGGGTTCCCAAGGCCAGGTCTGTTCCTCTGGGGTGTGGTTAGCCCTCACCCCACCATCTTGCCCTCAAGGTGGCACACCTCAAGGGGCTGCAGTGCCCCCACCCTCAGATGCTCCTGTCTCCAGTCAGCTAGTGCCCAGTCTGGACAAGGAAAGAGATGAGGACAAGGGTGGAGCAGGCCCTTGGGGCTCCGGGGGGCAGCCTTCCCTGGACAGGTGGCACCCCCATCTTGGGCAGCAGCTTCAGTACCTTGTGCAGGGGCTCCCCCTTGCCCTGTGCTTCCTGACCCTGGGGGGGAGGTGAGAATTCCTGGGAACTGGGCCCAGCCGGACAGCATGTGAGGCAGTGGCCGGACAGCATGTGAGGCAGTGTCCGGACAGCATGTGAGGCAGTGGCTGGACAGCATGTGAGGCAGTGGCCGCAGGGGCTGGCACAGAGCAGGGCCCAACTGCTGGGAAGTCGGGAAGCCCACTCAGAGGAGACCCGCTGGTCGCTGGGTCAGGCTGCCTCAGGCACAGAGGTGCTGGGGAGCTTTGGGGGGGGGGGAATCAGAACCCAGGAGAATCTCTTATCCAAGCAGGAAGCACTGATGTTACAAAATAGATAGAAGCAGATTCCTCAACAAGAAGCCACAGGAGATTAGGGAGCAACATTTCTATAGGCTCTAATCCTGGTCTCCCAAGGGGAACCTTGGTATTGCCCCCAATAAAACCCAGTGGCCTCCTCCGACTCCATCCCTCCCTTCCAGCTATAGCTCTGACCCCACCCTGCTTCCAGGTTTGGAAGAGGAGTGTTCTGAGGCAAACCTGCTTCCAGGTTTGGAAGAGGAGCCTGAGGACATGGAAGGGGCAAGGAGGGAACCCCAAGCCAGGGTGGAGGGGCTCCAGGACTCCCCTCACATGCAGGCTCAGTAGGCTTCCTGCTTCCTGTAACAAGCACAGTGACCCAGGTGGGTGAAAGAGAAATGTGTTGTCTTCAAGTTCGGAGGTGAGGCATCTGGAAACAAGTTGTTTGAGGCGTCTGGAAACAAGTTGTCAGGACGTCGCTCCCTCTGGAACCGGTGAGGGGAAGCCCCCCTAGCTTCTCCCTGGCTTCTGATGGCTTGCTGAGGGCACCCAGCCCTTCTTGCAGGTCCTCATCCCCCTAAACCCCATGGTTTTCCCACCTTTCCCAGCCCTTGGCTCTGGGTCCTGCCAGAGTGTGAGAGGCCTGGTTACTATGAAGCCTTCAGGAGACTGGCATGAATTGGTTGAGTGAAGAGAGGAAGGAAAGGTGAAACAGAGTAACTAGAATGTGAGGCTCTGACCCCAGAAGTGGCTGACCTTTCCCTCCTTTAAAAGGAGATGATCATAGAATCAAATAAGATGATTGTGCAAATAATAACAGCTGCTACAGAGCTGCTGCCTATTAGCCATTCTCATTGCCTGCCTGAAATCCAAGTCGGAGTTCAGCAATGGCAACATTATCTGGCACTGTCACTCAAGAGGCCTGTCTGAAGGTCCCATGGGTGCCCCTGAGGCTTGCTGCTCCCTCATCCATGGACCCCTCAGTCCTAGGGTCAGTAAAAGAGGCCCTGGCCTCAGCTTCCTGCAGGGGCCAGGTATGTGTTGAAGGAAGGAGCACCTGCCTCCTCAAATCTTTGAACTTCTAAAACCTGACTTTAGGGCCTCCCTGGTGGCGCAGGGGTTAAAGTCTCAGCACTATCAAGCTATTGCCAGCCACTGCGGCAGGCAAGAGTTCGATCCCCGACCAGGGAGCTGACCCAGACGGTACAGCAGACCTCTCCTGTCTCGCCCGCTGCTCCCCTCATCAGTGTGTTTCAGTCAGTCCACCTATTCTGCTCCCCACTGTCTCAGGAGAATCCTCTCACCACCCCCGCACCTCTGGCCAACACACTAGTTCTTGTATGCCTAAATAAATAAAAAGCAAAAAAAATCTTAAAGAATTAAATAAAATATGACTTTAGTTTCAGAAAATAAAGCTGTTAGCCAAAGTTGTTAACTTCTAGTGTTAAAGAACATGAGGGTAAATGGGCAGTTCCTTGCCTTACTGGTGGTTCCAGTTACCTGCAGGAGTTTATGCTGAATGTGTATTTATTTATTTATTTGTATTTATTTTTATCTGCTATGTCCTCACTAAAATGATCCTTGCATAGCTGCTGACAACAGCAACGCACTAGAAATACCCAACATCCATTAGTGAGGGGCCAGTTACGGTTCCGATGTTTCATGACAAAATACCACTATAAATGATGATGCAGCTTAACACTGATTACTTTGGAATGATGCCCACAGTGTAACATTGAAGAGGCTGCGTTTTGGACTTCCCTGATGGTGCCTGAAGGCGCAACGGGTTAGGACGCAGCACTGCAAGTTAGTCATAGGTGCTCCAGTGCAAGTTTGATCCTGGGCCCTGGAGCTGACCCACATGGCGCGGCAGACCTCTCCTGACCCGCCCGCTGCTCCCCTCAGCAGTGTACTTGTCTATTTGCCTGTTCTGCTCCCCACTCTGTCTTGGTGAAGCCTCTCACCACACCTGCACCTCTGGTTTGTACCCCATTTCTGTATGCATAAATAAATAAATCTTAAAAAAATAAAGTTGGGCTTTATGGTCCTAATTATTTAAAATTATACACATGCGGCCCTCCCTGGTGGTGCAGCGGGTTAAAGCGCAGCACCGAGAAGCAAAAACCACTTCCGCATGAGTTCGATTCCCGCTGGCCCCGGAGGTGACCACATGGTGCGGCAGACC